TGGGAAGATATTAAAAGAAAGTGTTAAGGGGGAGAAACCATGAGAATGTGTGAACATATGCCTAGCGGAAGTTCCAGAAGACAAAGAAAATAGAAACCAGTGGTAGAAACACAATACTTAGAGAGATAACAGCTAAGATTTCTTTCTTTTTTTTTTTTTTTTTCCTGAGACAGGTCTTGCTAGGTTACCTGGGTTAGAGTGCAGTGGTGCCATCATAGCTCACTGCAACCTCAAACACCTGGGGTCACAATCTTCCTGGCTCTTGAGTGGCTGGGACTACAGGCATTCACCTCTATACCCAGCTAATTATTTTACTTTTTGTGGAGACGGGGGTCTCACTATGTTGCTCCGACAGATCTTGAACTCTTGGCCTCAAGTGATCGCCAGTCACGGCTTCCCAAAGTGCTAGGATTACAGGCCTACCTACTATGACACCAGGCCACCAAGATTATTTTAGAATTGAAGGCAAGACTCCTCAAGTTGGAAGTACCCTCTGAGGACCTCTCTGGTAAAGGAGCACAGGAAATTTCACCAGTGGGACAAATACAAACAAATCTACACCTGAACACTTTGAAGTAAGACTTTAGTACATCAAGAATAAAAAGGGGCAGTGTCTGTGGCTCAGAGGAGTAGGGTGCCAGCCCCATATGCTGGAGGTGGTAGGTTCAAAACCAGCCCCAGCCCAAAACTGCAAAAAAAAAAAAAAAGGATAAAAAAGGAAATCTTAACCTTTAACAAAAAAATATAGACTAGACCCAAAACAAAAACTATCAGATTGATAGCAGATGCCAAGGGCAGTACTGAAGGGGGAAATTTTGCTGTCAGTCTAGATTCTAGAGTTTTATGCCCGAGTACACCACTGTCACATGCTGACCAAAAATACTATTCTTGAGAAGTAAACCTAGAAAAATGCTTGATTTACAAACAAACAAAAAAAAAAAAAATGAAAGGGGAGAAGAAACTTTTATTTTTTTTTATTTTATTTTTTTTTTTTTTTGAGACAGAGCCTCAAGCTGTCCCCCTGGGTAGAGTGCCGTGGCATCACAGCTCACAGCAACCTCCAACTCCTGGGCTCAAGCGAGTCTCCTGCCTCTGCCTCCCAAGCAGCTGGGACCACAGGCGCCCGCCACAACGCCCGGCCATTTTTTTTTTTTGGTTGCAGCCATCATTGTTGTTTGGCAGGTCCGGGCTGGGGATTCGAACCCGCCACCTTAGGTGTACGTGGCTGGCGCCTTAGCCGGTTGAGCTATAGGCGCCGAGCCTATTTTTTTTTTATTAAATCAGCTGTATACATTAATGCAATCAGGGGGTACAGTGTGCTGGTTCCACACACAATTTGAAATATTTTCATCAAACTGGTTAACTTAGCCTTCATGGAATTTTCTTATTATTGTGTTAGGACATTTATATTCTACACCTAGTAAATTTCACATGTACCCTTGTAAGGTGCACTGTAGGTGTGGTCCCACCAATTACTCTCCATCCCCCCATCCTCCCCTCTCCCCTCCCCTCCCTCTCCCCTTTCTCTTTTTTTGGGCTACAATTTGGTTATAGCTTTCATTAGAAAGCTATACATTAGTTTCATAGTAGGGCTGAATACATCGGATATTTTTTCTTCCATTCTTGAGATACTTTGCTAAGAAGAATATGTTCCTGCTCCATCCATGTAAACATGTAAGAGGTAAAGTCTCCATCCTTCTTTAAGGCTGTGTAATATTCCATGGTGTACATATACCATAATTTATTAATCTATTCATGGATCAGTGGGCACTTGGGTGTCTTCCATGACTTAGCAATTATGAATTGGGCTGCAGTAAACACTCTGGTACAAATATCTTTGTTGTAGTATGATTTTTGGTCTTCTGGATATATACCTAGTAGAGGAATTGGAGGATCAAATGGCAGGTCTACTTTTAGTCTCTAAGTGTTCTGCAAACATCTTTCCAAAAGGAACGTATTAGTTTGCATTCCCACCAGCAGTGTAGAAGTGTTCCCTTTTCTCCATATCCACGCCAACATCTCTGGTTTTGAGATTTTGTGATGTGGACTAATCTTACTGAAGTCAGATGATATCTCAAAGTGGTTTTGATTTGCATTTCTCTGACGATTAAGGATGATGAACATTTTTTCATGTGTAGGCCATGCACCTGTCTTCTTCAGAGAAGTTTCTCTTCAAGTCCCTTGCCCACCCTTTAAGTCATTCAATTCCACTATTTAACTTTTGCTATGAAAAGTAATAACAAATTCTATGTAAAAAGATAATAAAAGTACATGAAAGAACCATGAACAGGCAAATACAAGAAAAAAACAGCCACCAGATGTATGCAGATTGAAAATAAAGACAGGAAAAGGTGAAATTGCAATAGCTTCCGTGTAAACAAGGGTGTGGAAGATGATCACACCTCTTCCTGAACTTGGGCTAGCACTGCAGGTGACCTTGAGTGCATGGAGCTGCTAAGTGTCAACTTTGGGATGGTCTTTTTCCTGGGGAAGACGAAATTGGAACAAGAATGGGAATGGAGACCTGAGAACAACTAGAGGCCTAAAGCTGTAATGTTTTATTTCTTTAAAAGGTGAAGCAAAAGGGCAAAATGCTCAGCTTTGTCAAAGCGGGGCATCCACGGGCCTTCACAGTACTATCCTGACAGCTACCTGTGCGAGTCAAACCAAAAGACACACAGAACTTTCAGAGGAACAGGAATTTTTGGATACAGCAACAATGTTTACCAAACATTTACAGGGCGGTTTGCCTTCTGCAGCTCCCAAATCCCTCAGAATAAAACCTTCCTGGGGCTTGTCAGGCCCGCAGAGTCTGCCCTTCCTGCATACTTGCCTCACATGATTCAAACGCTTTTCCTCTTCTGATAACAGCATTCCTCTGGATTTTCTCCTTTGGATACTGGGCTGGGGAAAATCTAGAACATTTTAAAATGATCTCAGTTGCCTTTGATTTTAATCACAGAAATGATGTTGCTCTTCATCTCTGAACTTACTCTCAGTCTAGTGCTTTTAGTTAGAAACTCATTCACGCAGCACAATGGAACTGTATTTTCATGGTACTTGAGGGACATTCCGCTTTGCTGTGGCTTGTGTCACCATAACCTAGTCATTGTGATCTGGTTGCTGTCTGTAGCCCACACACACCCCACAGTCTTATGTGCGCGGGAGCAATTGATGCATGCCAGTGGGATTCATGGGGTTCAGGCCGCGAGATTGCAGATCGTACCTGCCAGCCTCACCCGAGGGCAAAGTGAGTTCTAAGGAAACAGCCAACCTTGGATGCTGAGTTGCTTACAGTGTTTGGGGTGAAATGGTTTAATCTGTATTTTAGAGAAGAAGGTATTAATTCTCAATACGGATAAGCCTAATTGTCAATGTGGAAAATTAGTCCTTAGACTTAAGCCTTTTCTAATATAAAGAGTGAAGTTTGACTAATCCATATTATTTTATCTTAAAAGGACAAAAAACAAACACTACTCCTGGTGATAAGACTAACACTCAGTGTAGGCACACACATTTAGTACAACTCAAGAAACCAGCACACAGGACACAAAGTTCTCCCCACGCTGACTTGGCCCGATACTACCTATGAATTTTATTTATTTTTGTTTTTTAATTTTTTCGAGACAAAGTCTCACTATATTGCCCTCGGTAGAGTGCCATGGTGTCCCAGCTCACGGCAACCTCAAACTCCTGGGCTTAGGTGATTTTTTGCCTCAGCCTCTCAGTAGCTGGGACCACAGGTGCCTGCCACAATGCCCAGCTATTTTTTGTTGCAGTTGTCATTGCTGTTTAGCAGGCCCGGCCCAGGTTTGAACCCGCCAGCCTCGGTGTATGTGGCTGGCTTGATAACCAACGTGCTACGGGCGCCAAGCCCCTGTGAATTTGTTAATGATCTGCCAATACATTGAAGGCCTAACAGTGCTCTGAAACCCCAACATAATCTGCTTTTATTTGTGTATCTAGCATGACAACTCACTAATATTACGGGACTTATTTTGTTCCATCAATATTAAACCTTCACACTGTAGAAATCTCATCTTATAAAAAATAAAAGCTGGGCAGCGCCTGTGGCTCAAAGGAGTGGGGCAATGGCCCCATGTGCCAGAGGTGGTGGGTTCAAACCCAGCCCCTGCCAAAAACTGCAAATAAATAAATAAATAAAATAAAATCTAGATGATTTCTTGGGCGTGTATTTCACGCCATTGACCTGTACACTTAAGAAAAAATAAACACTAGGTCAGACAAAACCTAAATGTGTTCTCTCTTCATGTCAGTCTCTTAAAATGTCTAATATTGAGCCACAAGCAAAGCAAACGCAGTGGTAATTCTTTGGAAGATTGTGTAATTACCATAGGTCACTAGGATTCCACCTGGTATATAAATATTCCTTACCGTACTGCATCCTGGCGACAAGAAAGGAGCCATTGCTCTGTGAAAGGGAGTTTATCTTCTCATCTGAGCAGAGTTTAGTGATGAAAAGAATGGGCTCAGTATTCTGCTTAATACTATGTTTCTGAGCATTAGGTTCATATGCTTACGTTTTTACAGTAAATGAAAACTGGATAATGTTCTCCAAGCCACTAGAAAATGTGTTTCTTCAGCTGTTCAACAACAGTATTAATGATTGTAAATATTGATGAGCATTTAATTCTGTACCCTGCACTTCTCTACACGTCGTTTCTGCGTTAACTCGTTTAATATTCTTGGCAGCCTATGAAGTAGAAGCTAATGCTGTCCTCAGGTTCCAAATGAGAGAACTGAGCGTAGACCCGTTGAGTTATCTCTCTAAGGCCGCACAGTATGGAATGGGGCTGGTGGTCGCTTTATCATTTTTTGAATGAAAGACTCTTGGCTTTCGTGCAACCTCGCTCTTCGCGTGTTCAGTGCTTTTGTTTATTCACTTGTTTTTAAAAGGAAGTCAGTGAAACTTGAATGTCTTCATGCATTTTCTGTTATTTCTAATAACAAAGGATAATTCCTTCTTTGGATTCTTACAGGGCATTCTACTTGGACAAGTCAAATTCACCGCCAAACTCCACATCCAAAGCAGCCTATATAGATAAGGTAAAAGAGATGATTGTGTTTATTGCAATTACTATTTACATACCTCCCTAATTTGGTTTTTCAGCAATTATTTTTGAGCAATGAGTAATTATAAATAGTTGTGGTCTCCAATTCTGTAACTTCCATAATGAAATAATCATGTAGACTCTTCATTAAAAGGTATGACAACTGTGCATTGTAAGCCATCTGAAACGATTTTACTAGATAAATTGAACTTTGTGCATTCATCCCTTTTTTCTGCAGCTGATGAGGCCTCTCAATGCTCTGGATGAACTGTACCGACTGGTGTCCTCGTTTATCAGATCCAAGCGCACAGCTGCCTGTGCGAACACGGCCTGCAGCGCCTCTGGAGTTGGCCTGCTGTCCGTCTCCTCGGAGCTGTGCAGCAGGCTGGGAGGCTGCCACATCATCATGTGCAGCAGCGGCGTCCACCGGTAGGTGAACGGCCTGCCTCGCTTGTCTCTTTGTTAAGCCACATTTCACGTGCTGGGACTTGTTTGCATTTTGGCTCCGTGAAATTAAAAGTAGGAACATTCAGAGGACCCATAGGTATTTGGAATAAGAGTTTGGATGCTTTCTCAGGGTAGTTCTTGTATATCAGTGACTGTCTTGTCCTAGAAATGAATATAATCCTACATTTATTTCACTGTGGCTCCCAGTCTGGTCACCCTTGCATTTATATTCACATATTTGTATTTTAGGTACAAAAATGCACATCCATCTTATTCACTGTAGGAGTTTGCTAAGGAGGAGCTGAATCAACTACTAGCCCAACAAATCTGCTTTTTGTTTCTTTTCTCACTGTACTTGATAGACATTCCACTATTCAGTGGTTCATCTCAGGTCCCTGTGACCCAAATGTTGTGAGCTAAGCAGTTGCTGCTTTGGAGTTGCAGCTGCTGTCCAACTCCAGCGGGATGACGGTTCCGGAGCTCACGTGCAGTGTGCCTTCCCTGCAAATGCAAGGGGGAAGCTCGGGGGTCCTACTCATGCGAGTGTGTACGTCTGGGCGGCCACTCAGGGGTATGAGGTCACACGGCGGCCTCAGTCTCCTCAGACTGTCATCAGACCCCAAATTGTAAGGGGGAGTCCCCTAGCGAAGTCCCTCTTCACGATCCCAAGCTCCTCTTCTGCCACCTCTCTGTCGTCACGAGGAAGGGAAGCCACGTGGATGGGACGAGCAAGGCAGGGTTTTAGTTCTCATTTTAACCTGTCTTCTGTCACCAGACACAGTCTCTCATTAGTATTATGCCGGTTAGATTTTGAGGGTGGTGTTCACTTTATTAAAATTTACTTGGCATTGAATCCATGCCAAGAATTGTTCTTGGCGTTATTGGCTGTGTAATGCTGTAAAAAATTCAGTTTGGAGACACAAAGCATGAAGAGCAATGACAAAACAATTAACAAAAATAATAGCAATAACCTAACCTAATGGGAAAAATTAACACACAAGGAAAACTAAGGTACAGAAAAGAACATGACCTGGGAGTGTTCCAGCTGCAGAATAAGATTCAGAGGGCAAAATAAATCCCCACGGTGGTTAGGTCTGGGAACTTTCCATAGAAATGGTGATGTTTGAGTTGGGTTTTGATGGATTAGGTGTTATAGAAGGAGAAAGGGAAGAGGGGCCATTCAAGGCAGCACCCTGTCATCTGAGAAATTGCATTTCAGCAGAACTTGATATGGCCAAGTTCTAGTAGCAAGTCCTACACAGCACGATCTTACTCATGAAACAGGGTGGTGAGACTATTTCCCTGAAAGGAACATTAAATTTTTGTGGTTGATAAAATCTGCAGAATTTTTTTCCTTTAATTGCTATGTACTTTGAACTCTCTTATAAGCTTATTACGACCTTAATTGAAAATATCATCTGCAGCTGAACGAATCAAATATTTAATTTTTTCTCTGTTTGCTGGCAGTGATGTGTTCCTTCTGATAAACTCATGTTCACTTAGTCTATTCCCATTTGTTTATTCATTCATTATTCATTCATTCAATAAGTGTGCATTTCAGCACCAATTATGTACCAGCCCTGTTCTAGGTGCTGGGGATACATTTAAAAAATAAGTAAGTCCCTCCTTTAATATAGAGTGCATGACGTTAGGGAGAAGTGGTTGATAAAGTAAACCAGTGTATGATGTGGCAGGTGAAATAGATGTAAAGAAGAACAGAAGTCAGGGGAGTCCAAGGTGACAGGACAGGAGAAAGGGGCACACCTACCAATGGGAGGATTTTATCAGAGACTGTCTGAAATGAAGGAGTGTCACAGATGTCTCAGAGCATCTGGACCGTGGGGACCAGGCACATCTGGACCGTGGGGACCAGGCACACCTGTCCTCAGGTGGGAGCATGCCTAATGTGTTCAGGGAACAGCAAGGTCATCGGGCTTCAACACAATGTCACCACCTGGAGGATCTGTGCTTTTATCTTACCCTGAGAAAAAAACAGTTATCAGAGTTCTGGATACACTGGATCAACCAAGGGGATACTTTAGACTTTGAAACTATAAACATACACACAATTCCATATTAATTTGCTGAAAGTTAATGCAGTTACATCGACCGTGTAGTCCTAGACCATGACTAAGTTGTCCAAATTATTTCCTCAGATGTTCCATCGGCAATTTGAGAATTTCACGAGTGTTGTACAACAAAGACATTGATGTTCCACAGCTATCTTATTATTGCTGTTCTCACCGACTGGTGTGTTAGAATCATAGGGAACACTGAAATTTCAAAACACATTGGCTTTCTTCATGACTATGATTCAAAGTAAACAAAGCTCTAGTTAATTCACTTCAGGAGACATTTACCAAAGTGTTAGGCAGCCAATGTCTCATGACAGGGGCTGAATTTAAGGTTAAAACTATTTGAAATTTTTGTAGTTCTATTTTTCTGTTATGAAGAATAAAATGGGGAATTTAACATAATCTTGAATTTTTCAGTGAAGGCAATGCTTAGATTTTTTTCATGATGATGAAATGTGTGCTAATTTATACTAGAATCCAAAATCCCCCAGAAGGCTGTTCCTAAAATAATCCTTTAGTAATTCTAATTCAGACAGCTAGAGGAACCCAAGCAGATCCACACCTGCATGAAACGTTCAACAGGGAGGTTTACCCTCAAGTTCTGACAGAGGGGAGAAATTTACAGTGTGAAGGAGGATAAATATTATCCAAGCTATTTTTATCATTTAGTTTTAAAGTCAAGATGAAAAACAGTCAACAATAAGGTATCCATGTTAGATAGCCTTTTCTGATTTCATTGGGCAAGAAGAGGAACTAAGTTTGTTTTTTTTTTTTTTAACTGTTGAATTGTATTTATGTTGGATACCAAAGGGGAAAATGTGGGGGATTTTTGGAATGAAAAGGTAGATTTAATTAGCATTAATGTCTAGGTGTTTTAATGCCAACCTGAATTAGATGGCAGAGCTGGATACAACAGTGAATATGAGATTAGTAGGAATAGAATTCTGGGTGAATTACTGAAATCTTCTCAGAGCATTTAGCCTGGCTTGTTTTTATTAGATTATCTTTCCTAGTGTAATCTGTTGTGTGCAATCCAAGTCTATTGATGAGCCTTCCTGTCTGTACGCTCTCAAGCCATTCACTTCTGTTTACTGGCTTCCCTGCTGGGTTGCGTAGTGGAAGAGGAATAGGATAGTCTCTTTTTAAGATCAGGATTTTGCCTTTTAATTAATATAATCATGATTAAAAAGGAGTTTAATAAATGGGAAATTTTCTATCCTGACGTAACTCTTTTCTCATTTTTATTTCATATCATCTCTCATAACACCTATCAAACAACAGACATTTGAAAATAGCTTCATTAGTTAGTATATATTTGTGGGTCACTATGAAAGTTTTGAGACTGGCTGTGTTATGGTCCATTATTTCATTTCCAAGAAACACAGTTGACTGCGTCCTTTCTGACCGACCCCTGCAACTTTCAACTGGCTCAGCTTACCGGTGTTGCTGGGAGGGCTTCATTTGTTTCCATCAGTGTAGATTTTACATTTCTTGATTTTTGTGTATCTCAAAACCCATGTCGTATTTTAATTAACATCCATGCTACTGGATGCAAGAAAATACCCGAGACTGGGTAATTTATAAAATGCAGAAATTTATTTCCACACAAGTTTGGAGGCTGGGAAGTTCAAACTCATAGTGTGGGCACATTTAGTACCTGATGAGGGTCCTGGTCTGTGCTTTCAAGGTGAAGCCTCGAACTCTGTGTCCTCACATGGCAGAAGAGCAAAAAGGAGAGAAGCAGCTGCCTTGAATCTCTGTCACCAGGAGACAACTCATCCACAAGGGCTCCCCTCTCATGACTCTACATCCCCTAAAGGCTTTATATGAACACACTGGAGATTACGTTTCAACGTATGTGTTTGGGAGTATAGCATATACTTTAATAATCTGCCTATGCTCATAGCAAACGTGCACATAGACTTCCTCATCGTAATGGTTTTGCTGCATCATGTTCCGTCAGTTGGTATAATCTGCCTATGCTCATAGTTTAATAATCTCGTTTAATCATCTGCCTGTGCTTATAGCAAACGTGCACATAGACTTCCTCATCGTAATGTTTCTGCTGCATCATGTTCCATCAGTTGGTTTGCCACAAGCTACTAGACCATTTGCTTAGTGATTTCTCTTGTTTCTCCAGTGCTCCTAATACCTGCAGAATGGCATCTTTCTATATGTCACTGTTGAAATTTCAGTCTTATTTTCCATTAGCCTAAAAGAAAACAAATCAGACAAAAAAATACCATTGAGGTCGAATTACTGTGTCCAAGGGTTTAAACCTTTCTGATTAATGTATTTTTTACTATATTTTAACCCAAAAGGATTGTCCTCATGTACAGTACAACCCGCAGGGTGGGTATCATGTGCCACCTTCTCCTTTATCACATATCAGAGCTCATATCACGTTGGAGTCTGTTTATACACTGTGCTTCTTCACTACACTTCCATTTCAGTTGTACGTCAATTTATATACTTCTTTGATGAAATAAAAGTATTTGATATCTTCTGAATTTCCTTTCCTACAAAGAGTCATGTGGTTTATATCGTACATATACCTGCTTTATAGGCAAAGTTATTTTTTGCCAAATTGAACCTTTTTAAGGTATTGCATCACCGCTGTGGCTTTTCTAGTTCTCTCTTGTACCCATGCCAGTTGTCTGTTACAAGCAATCAAAAAGCTTGCCGCAAGGATTTCTAAATTTCCTTTTATTTCTTCCTGCGGCGTCCTTCCATTCGATGCTGTGTTTTAATTTGTTTGGCTTCTTTATTCCTACCCTGCTTGATAGCCAACTGTTTTTATTTAACCAGTATAAATCAGGATACTGCAAACGTGATAAAACCCAGAGCATCATCTTACTGAGTCCCTCAGCTGTGGGAACAAGTGGGTGGAAATTTTCAGAAGGAGCC